TAGTGGGATAGCAGCACTCATCAGCAGCAGAATCTACTGTCACATCTATGATAGCATCAGCCATCTCCACCCACTGCCACAAGTACGATACAATGGAGAGCTCATAATGGCTGAAGGATTTTACATCACTAGCTTAAATCCCTCCACACATTTTGATTTTGGTGCTGGCCATGTCAATCCAACTCGAGCTCTTGATCCGGGTTTAGTCATATCAGCAGGTAATCTTCCTCTTTATATTCTCATTTTGTACCAATTGCTACTGTTGAATTGTTGCAGATTATTCTGAATAATGATCTTAACTTTTGAGAGAAAACTGACTAGGTCTCAGAAAAATTTCTGCTTGACTAATAACCCGATAGATGCAATGACAAACACCTGTCTGAATATTGTACATTCCACCCATAGATTTGCAGTTTGAAAGTTATATTAGCCAAATAGATTTATTTAACTTGACATTATGTTAGAATTCAAAAGGTTTCTTAAATTATATCTATTAAATTTATAGGTATTTTTTTATTTATAACACGAACCTACCCTCTCTCTAAATGAAACATCATTTACGCAACAAACTCTTGACAGGAGAATATCTTACTCGGGTTTAGCAATATATATCAGATTTATAACTTATATGATTTTATATGTCGATTTTGATCTTGATTATAGCAACTCTAAATGCTTTGGCTGCAATTTCTTATCCATCACACATGATCTTTCATGAAACAGAATTTGGAGACTACATAAGCTTCTTGTGCATTTTACCAAACATCAGCCACTCCACAGTCACAGCGGCTACTGGGGCATGGTGCAGTCACTCCCTAGACCATCCAGCTAACCTGAACCTCCCTTCGATAACAATATCATCACTTAAAGGATCTCTGTCACTGAGAAGGAACTTCAAGAATGTAGGATGCAAACCAGAGACATATCTGTGCTCTGTAGTCCCCCCAGATGGCACAACAGTTAGCTTGTCTCCTCCTTGGTTTACTGTTGCTCCATATGGAACCCAAGATTTGGACATTTTATTCAATGTAACTAAGGTGATGAATAAGTTCAGCTTTGGTGAGATTGTTCTTACAGGAAGTATGAATCATATTGTGAGAATACCCTTAACAGTTAAACCTGTTTCGCTGTTTTAGAACGGTCATTACAAGCTAAAGTATAGTTCAATAAAATCAATTACAGAATGAATATACAAAATTTTTGTTCAATACAAGTCTATCAGACAAATAAATACAAATCAAGAGGGTAATTTTCTTTTTCTTAACCCACCTGTTTATAAATGTGGATGAAATTCGATTATAGGATTTGTGAATAATGAATATTACATGTACAACTAACAATAAAACATACCATATTGTAAAACTATTGACCAAGGCACATACATTCCATACATCTCGGGTACCGGTAAATACTCCTCCCTTTGGGTCTTGACTGGACATGTTTAGTTTGCCTAACTGCTTTCCTCACTCTCTGCTCAAATATTTTCCACTCTATGGTGTTGTTCTTCAAGAAGATGTCAGCAAGCCTCCGCTTGTTAGGCCGTATTGTTGGCATTCTCCCCCCACCATAGTATATTCGATAACCAGACACCAAAGATGACAACTGACTTCCCGAGTCTGTCATGGCGAATGCATCAGCAGCAGTGCAACCGATGAAGTCCAGTGCTGCCAGCTACAGAAGTAATGGGTCACCGCAAATCAATAAGCAGAATTTTATGATAATTTACATATTCTACAAAAGAGTTCATGAGTCTTATCAACTTTAAAGAATCTTATTTGTAAAATCAGTCATGACAAAAGTAAACATACATGACGTCTAAGTGGATAAATAAATTATAAAAAAATTATTTTATTAAATTTTGACTTAGTTTTTTATAAGCATGCAAAGAATAATGTTAACTTTCATAAAAAAAAAAAAGAAAAAAAAAATTGATAACAAAAAATATTTTTTTAATTTTTTAATAATAAAAAATACAAAAATTAGTAAAAATAATAATTTAAGGTCATAAAACTCTTTGAGAACCTCTATAATGTCAAGATATGTTGTTATATCAAATAATCTTCAATATCCAAAACCCTAGATACACACTTTTTGGGGAAAAAAAATCACCTCATGATGGGTGGGGAACCATGTACTATAGCCCATGGGCACATCCATGGCTCCATATAGGGTGGAAAAATCTCGTCTCAATGAGCGATTACGAGACCAAAGGGCCTGAGCTTAAAAGCCCAAAATGCATTTTTGGTACCAAACAAGGGCAAAAAAAAACTTCACTTCGCAAAAATAGCACGTTTGTAGCACAAGAAGATGGTGGCATAGGCAACCAGCATGCAGCGGCAGCTCTAAAGGATAACAAAAGCATGTAGCTCTAAAGGCAGTGCCTCTACTGACAGATTGAGCCCCATTACGAACCGCTAGGGGCCTGCAGAAAAATGACGAAAAGAGCCTAATCACATAGACCAATCACATTTAGAAAGGTTATGAAGGCTACTCTGTTACCTGAGAGGAAAAATTCATGAATGGTTCGAGTTCCCTCGATGAAAGCAAATTCTCTTTAGTGATCAAATTGGGATACAAGCTGGTCAAAGAAATTAATCTTGACCTCCCTCCATATATATTTGCACCTGCAACAAATATTTGTGTCTTACGGTTGAAACCAAGAGCAGTGAGCATAAGTACTGCCTCTTCAGGTGTTAATGGACATAAGCCCTCTGACCTTAGCGCTTCAGGGGAAGGTAGCCTGCAGCAAGTAAAATGTTCTATTCAGATGCATCAAACAATATAATAATTACAGGAAAGAAATAATAGATGCAAGAAGGAAAAAGTTCCATACTTTTTTCCCTTCTCAAGATATGTCAGCGTAGGGAAATGGATTTCGCGATATGCTTCCAACTCTCTTCTCTCTTTTTCACCTCCGCCAAAGTAGCACAGAGAATGAGCAACCATGTCAATTTCAAACCTCAAATGGAGAGCTAGATATTTGGAAGCTTTTTTTGCGTGCCCCTGCTTTTCCTTCAAAACTGACTCCGCATATGGACCAACAAGATAACGATCTAGTACTCCAACATAAGATGCATTCTGACGCAACCTTTTGAGGAGCAAAGCACCAGTTTCTTGAACTTTGGGGACAAATCTGAGCGCATGAAAATTACATCTGCATCGAAGTCTCTAGATGAAATCCCCTAATTAGGAAGAGCAAAGCAAAAAAGAGAATGTATATAGCGCCAAGAAAGACTATATGAGGTAATATCCTAATCTCATTTGTCAAAAGGAAGCTTACATTAAAGAAATCAGTGTTCTTTATCTGAAAAAGGTTTACAAATACCAGAGGTTCAAGTGAATTAGGATGTCAAGGAAAACAAAGCTACCTGCAATTGAAACGGTATTGGGTCAAATGCCAAGCGATTGCCAAATCCAACAAAATGGATGATTCCATTCTTAATCAGAATAGGGAGAATGTTTTTCAGATAAAAACTTGGCTTAGACTCCTTTGGGATATCTGCATCTGTCACCTGGAACACCATATGAACAGTCAGCACAAACAAAAGACGATAAAATACTGCATATATTAAGAACAGTTAAGAGTTAATCTGAATAAGGAACTCACAACACTACCAATTGCTTCCAGGTCTAATGACTGTAGCTCCTTAGAAAGTTCGTTCACTATCCGAATATCAGAAGCCAAGTAGGTAGTGAAATGCTCCTCCTGATAGATATCGCCAAATTGACTAAAGATCACAAAACTTAATGCTGTTAATTTTTCATATAAAAAAAATATGATAGTTTAAAGCATTTAAACATTTAAAAAAAACTCAGATTTATCAAAAGACAATTTCTTTTAAAACTATTCGCCAGATGACATTCATAAGACAAAATGAAGTTCATGGGGCTAGAATCTACTGTAAAGTAAATACCACTCGTTCAATTTATATGACATGGGAAAAATATAAAACACAGTCCTTGATCCGATATGATGAAAAGAACAGCTGAAAAGAAATAAATGCAAAAACAAGTAATAAGAAAGAAAAGGTGAGGGAATTCACCTCACATCCGTCCAGACATCACTGTACATAAACTTGGGAACAACAAGAGTTGCATTAAGTAATCGTGCGATCACAACAATATTGCAAACCTGTTAACAGCCAAATCAAACTTTTAGTCAATAGTAAATTTTACATGCAACAACATGTTAGCCTCCAAAATTAAAGCTACAACCAAGCTTATAGAAAGAATTGGCGAAATTGGATCATTTGAACAATCCTAAGAGGAAGAAGTCACGTCCCAATCATTACTTACAGCGACTCGCTGCTGATTGATCCCACCATTTGCAGTGACCATAATATATCCATTCTTACCCTCTGCTCACCACACACAATATTATAAGAGGAATCATATAAACACATGCAAAACGCAGAAAACACACAAGCACAAGCATGCATATACACATACAGAAATATGTCATAGAGAGAGAGAGAGAGAGAGAGAGAGAGAGACCACAAGGCATCCAGCTACGTTGATCTGCACAAGGCCTCCAAGCAGAAGCAGGAACCAAGGGCTCCTGCCACAAATCTTTTGGCTCACGCTTATTCTGTCCCTATGCATAATCGAAACCAATGAGAAATGCCGCGAAGAACATCAGCAAAGAAGTGAAGAAACCATCATAAAGTACCTCAGCCAACGCATGAGCTGCCAAAGACAACATCCTTCCATAAGTCCCACTATGTTTCCTTTTCCCCCTACCAGACTTTTTCAAATTTTCCTGTAGTTGCAAAAAAGTATAAATGTGAAAAAGGAAACAACAAGGAGCTTAGCAGGCACCAACTCATCTGTTCTTAACCTGGGTCAATCAACTGAATCATTCTACAGATATTTCTAACTCCAATAAAGAAACAACATTTCTCTGACTAAGTAACTCTCTCTAACATGGCTACAAGATTTCAAATTTATTCAAGAATTTAGCTAAGTATATAATTACTAATAATGCTGCACTGAAAACCACCTATTAATATCTAATTATCAGGAATTAAGACTTCTAAAACAAAAAAACTAATTCATTACATATATAATGATTAACCCTTCTTCCCAAACAGATTATGCAAATACCTGAATCGATACCGAAACTTTGCCAGACGAAGAATTCTCTAGCGACATGTTTTTGGCCCCGACCCGGCCATCTTGTAAACGTGAAAGCATCAACCAGTTAACCATGAAAAAGAAAACAATCACTGCAATCAAAGCAACAACTCCTTTCACTCTCTTTCTCTGGTACCAAGACTTCATTCTCTTCGCTCTCTTCGCCGGCCGCTTTCGATCCCAAACAACCCCCAACAAGTTTGGCATAGAACCCGATCTGGAATGATCACTGCCACTCGAGAACCTGCTTGGCCCGAGTCTCGGTGACTGAATCGGCGAGCTCTGACAGCTTCTTGGACTGTTTCGGGACCCATCTATAACACGAAAGTCAGGAAATTCGGATTTCTCTCGATCCGCTTTCGATTGCAGAGCCCTTGGCTTGTCATCTAGTTCAAGAACGGAATTGGTAGGGAAGCCATTATTGTTATTACTTACGGCCATGAATAAGTTTCCGCTTTACCTTATTTCGATTCTGGATCCGAGAACTGTAAAAAGGATCTTTTAGGACAAGTTAGCTATAAAGTCGCCCTATTTTCACGGATTTGCGGCTAAGTAGCCATGAACGGAATGTCCAAGGTATTGAGAATTCCGGCGATACCTAGCGGACTCCGGGACGCGTTCAGTTCTTCAGCTTTGGGCTGAAACTGGGTCACAGACGGGTGAGAGTAGTGAAACTTTGCAAGTAACGGTGATCAGTGAGACTCTAGGGCTGAGGCCCACAAGATCGTAGCAACGGTTTGACGGGCCCACTCTATACCACTGTATTTTTCGTTGATATTTTCCATTAAATTACAATTACAATGAGAAAAAAAAAAATTGATTACTAAAATTTATTGGCTCTTTAATTTTAATATATGATCCATATATAATCAGATTAGACGAAAACATATAGTGTAATATTCATTTTTTTATAAAAAAAAATTATATATAATCAATGATATAATATCCTTATATTTGAAATTTATATATTCAAATATCATAAAATAATTAATCAGATAATATTTAATTTAAAATAATTTAAAATTTATTAATTGAACTATAGTAATTAAGTTATATTTCTTCTTAATAAAATATGTGTTTTTAAGCGAAAAAAATATTTTTTATAACGATCGAGTTTTCTTACTCGTAATCATAATAGATGAAAAAGCCTTAACCTAGTGTTTCTGTATTCAAAAATTTAATAAGCAAAGCTTATACAACAGTAATAACATATCAATAAAAAAAAAAATTAACGAAGATTCGGAGAACACACAACTCGTAATATAACATAAGCAAATATAGCTAAGCAAAATCTAGTTCCGCAAAGAAAAAATAGACAATATTATTTTTTTTGAAACACAACTTGAATGTAATATCTATCATGGAATTAACTGGGTATTTGCCCTTAGAATCTAAAGCTGTTTGCTTTTCATCTAATTCTAATATATTGGTGAATTATAATATGGGGAAAAAAAATTACAGGACACAACGTACCCAACAACCTGTTTTGGACTCATCAAGGTTGTCGTTTTTCTCGGTCAGAGATTCAGCGTAGTTGGAATCCTCGTGGAATTGTACCTGTTTCTATAGGACTATATAAAACCATACACCACCATTATCTTTCTGGTAAAAGCACCATTTACAAATGGACAGTTTCATTTCCTTGAAAAACCATGCCTAATTAATTACCAGTCAATTCAAACTACATGAAATGCATGGAATGTGGAACTTAAATGGGAGGCGGACCGTGTTTGGTTTGCTTCAATGACCATCAAATTCAACTTGTTAGGAAAAACTTCACTAATCATTCTATGCTGTACAAAGATAAAAATATATATACATACATATATATATATAAGGATGCTTTACTTCTACCTAAGCAAATAAGAATAAGAAGCACATAAGAACAGATTTAATATTAAAATTAGTCAAATTGTGCAGCATTGAAGAGGGGTGATGGCCCAGCAGTGAGCAACTACACTTTTTTTTTTTTTGGGAGATGACTTGAGCAATACACTTCAAGTAAAATATATTGAGTTCAATGGTATATTCTAAGAAGTACACCATCAATTACAGCATAATCGAACATAAAAAATTACAATATAGTTTTATATATCAAATGATTTTGTGGTGTTTATGGCTTTTCTCTCATATTGTTCACAAGAAGATAATCGAAAAGTTTGGCTAAGCAGGAGAAAGATCAAGATAAGCAGAAAATGGTTCCTTTTATGGATTTCCACTAAGGAGCTTTCTATTTGAAATCATGGAGTAGATAAGCATATGTCATTCTAAAAGATGCTTTGAAAGTTGTACGCAATTGGGTATCTCACGAACTCACCTTAATCAACTGAAACTTTGAAACTCGTATACAGTGGGGTATCTCACGAACTCACTTTAATCAACTGAAAAATGTTTTATTATGCTGCAAAACATCTTGAATGTCCATCAAGATATTCAATGAAACTATCATATTACAAGATATAGCAGTGTTATCTCCAGCTAAATATTTACCCTGATTCGCATTCTAGAAAACATAATTCGCAAACATGTATCTGATGTAATTACATAGCTTTCGCTTGACGAGTTGGTACCTTTTTCTATCTTTCCTTGAATGGTGCAATCTTCTTTTATTTCCCATAGTTGGTAGCATAGTTGTGTACAAACTGGATGCATTACCTCCAAAATTATTAGGCTAGGGAGTCTTAAAAGGACATATCAATTGCCTCGTGATCCGGAGTCTTGTATGCAAACCCTGATTCATCATTGGATCGCCTTTTGACCATACTAGCTCTTTGCACTAATCTTACCAATGCTTGCACAACTTCAGACATGGGAGGTCGAAATTCAGGTTCCGGCTACAAGGGGCAAAAATCACAAGTTCAATACAGGCAATGTTCAAAAAGACTAATAAGTTAGCTATATATCGTAAATATTTGGCAAAATGGGATGAGGAGTTCAGTCAGAAGGAAGAGGGAATTTTCAAACTCAGCAAGTAGCCATCAAATATCAAATGTCAAGAAGTTTAGCAAATATTAAACAAGCTATTCATATACAAAAATTAGCATTTTCTCGTTCAAAATACCCCAAATTTAACATAATCCACTTGCAGCTAGTTAAAATCTAGCTCTATACAAGTTAATCCATGGAATAAGTCAATATTTACCTGAACACACAGGGCAATGATGTCAGCAAAACGTGACAAGGACTTGGCAGGATACATGCCATTAAGTGCAGCATCAACCATTTTAGCCAATGCATCTATATCATGTAGTTGCGGAGTGGCCCATCTTACAAGTGATTGCTCTGACCTTACCCTTGAACTAAAAATACAGGAAAATACAGTCTAAATGGAGCCATCGTAGATGTAAACTAACTTCAAGAGATGATCAAAGCACTGAAACAATCAGATGAATATAATTGCTTTTTAAACGAAAGATGAATATAAAAATGGTTTTGATATTATAATAGAGTTTACCTGTCCAGTGGCTTCCGACCAGTTAATAACTCCAGCATCACAACCCCGAAGCTGTACACATCACTTTTTACAGTGTATACTCCTGATAAAGCAAATTCAGGGGCACTATAACCAAATGACCCAATCATCTGTGTTGAAACCTGCCAAATATGAAGGATAGAAAACTTAAGGGATCCTGACCCAGCAAATGAAGTACATAAAGCAACTTCAGCAGTGACTATGAAGGATATCAAAGCATTTTCAGTGACCCACAAGCATCCAAACCCCAACAAATTACCTGCCGCTCTGTATTTGGCGTTAGAGCAGCCAAACCACAGTCTGATAAGCGGGGATTGAGCTCTTCATCGAGCAAAATATTTGCTGACTTGAAGTTTCTATGTACAACAGAAGCAAGCAAACTTCATGCAAGTACCTGAGACAGAATAAATATCAGAAAGAATCCTTTTAATGGCAAGCATACTTATAATATCTAACACATATTACATACTCTAACGCCCGAGCAGTCCCAAGTGCTACCCTAACACGAGCATTCCAAGTGAGAATTTTGCTTCCATCCTCAGCAGAGTGCAAAATGTCATGTAGACTTCCATTTCCTATATATTCATAAACCAAAAGACGCTGGCCATGCTCTGCGCAGTATCCTGCCAACGTGACAATATTTGGGTGCCTCAAGCGTGACATATTTGAAACAGCTTCAAGAAAATTATCTTCCTCTTGTAGTGAGAGAGCTGCATTGTCAATCTTCTTTATTGCCATTGTCTGGATTAAATGAAAAGAAAACTATTATCCTAGTGCAAAAATTTGAGTGGCAAAGATGGCGAGTAAGTTTTAGATAGGCAAAACAAGACCAATTGCCAATCAAGAGATGATGTTATCACACATGGAAGAAGAGAGCTGAAAATATCACTTTTAAGAGCAGAACAAATAAGATGAGATGGTCAAGTGAAGTGTTTGAAAGGCAACATTCGATTGTATTTAAGAAGCAAATTCCTCTCTCAGAATTTCATGTGTGACAAATAGCCTCTAAATTCTGTATAATACTATGACAACTAACTTACCTTTCCATTTGGAAACTCTGCCCTATAAACACGACCAAGGGAACCTTCACCAATAAGGAATTCCTGACTGAAGCTATTCGTTGCTGTTTGGAGAGAAGCAACAGTATAGGAAGCAGTGGTTATAGGTGATTTCATTCTCTTTGCAGATCCATTTTTTGTTACCCTCTCAACCATAACTTTCTCTGCAGGTGGAGGTTTTAGATCTGCAATAGCAGCCACACTTGTAACCCTCTGCTCTTGCATGTCACTATTCACTGCATGGTTTAAACAGAATACATAATAAAGCCATCAGCATAGCAAATCAAGCAACTGCCTGATCCACACTACTAATATAAATTACAAAGCACATATACAAGGGAAGTTCTACATTTGTACATAAGATCCTTACATTACAGTATTAAACTGGAAATTTCTATCAAACAAAATTGAAATCCAACCATCTATATGTATATAAACACACACATACGTGCACATCAAACAAGCAGTAAAATATTAGCTTCATAGTATCTGGAAACTCAAACAGACTCTGTATTTCCTCTGAAATAGATTGGCCACAAAATTGGAAGTTTTCCAAAAATCCAAGAGTAAATTACATAAAAATGCTCTCTACATTTTAGTATTATCTTAAAGTAGGACTTATACTTTTGATTGCATCTTGATAAGACGTGCACTTCCCAGATATTCCAAATTAGGACTCGTCAATCACTTTCTAATAAATTAGACTGAATGCTGACTTTACACACTCATAAATGTCTCTAGATTCTAGTTTCTATTTGAAACACCAGTAAAAGTACAAGCCATTTTATGTTACTACCCTAAATTCAAATTGCAAATTAGCATTAAGGCAATCAAAGAACAAAAATAGCAAGGATGAATTAACGAAGGGAAAATAAAGAAGAAAATTAGCATATTGTACTAAGAAGAAAAGGAAAGAGTGCATACCGTTAGTTGAGCCATGAGAGAGACTTCCCAGGGAAGTTCTGGCACCAATTATCTTCCTTTTCTTCTTCCGAATGCAAAAGATTAGAACAAATAGTGCAAAGAGAAAAACAGATACACAACCCAGAACAACCCCCACAATAGCTCCGACTGACAATCCGTTCTCTGAATCAGATGATTGACCTCCAGAAGCCGGGGGTGTATGTGAACCAGATCCAGAATGATCATGATTGCTATGAGGTCTATGATGTGGAGGTGGGGTAAATGGTGGTGGAGGAGGAGCAGGACCATTGTCAAAAGAGTTTCCATCGAATCTGTTTTATTTTCGGCCACTAAGTTAAAAATTATTGAAAACAAGAAAAAGAAAACCACATTTATTCACATGGATTAGATGCAAAGCTTACATAAAATTCGGTATTGACCTAAGCTCGTGAGGTATCCATCCACTGAAATTATTGTTTGCAACATTTCTGCAACACAGGATAAAATGAGACCAAGAACACAGACAATGTGATTCCAAACACCAGTATGGGATAAGGAGCATACAGAGTAGTCAGTGGCAAGCCCAAAAGGACATTAAGAGAACCAGTCAATTGATTGTTTTGCATATAGCTGTCACAGATCCAGATATCACTAGGATTAGAATCAAACCATGCAAAAGCTAAGTCCATTTTTCTCTTTAGCTGTTCTTTATTAAAAGGAGAGAGTATGTACTCACAGTGCAGAAAGATTAAACAATGCACTAAAAGAAGCTGGAAGATCTCCAGTGAAGTTGTTAAACGACAGATCCCTACATCAACATGTCCACAGAGTAAAAAGTGATCAGGACTTGGCAAGTATTTGCCTTCATTTTTGTTTTCTTATCTGCGAGTATTTAACTGTATTACATCATCTCAAAGAACACAGCATTACAATTTCATCAAAGAAGTTTAATTACAACTAATTTATGTAAGTTTCAGAGAGGAATAGCTTCTGGAGGAATGAGCCAGTCCAAATACATAATAAAATCACCAGATTTCTTTACATTGACGAGAAAATAAACATCCTAACTCAATCCACCACCAAGAAAACATAAGAAACGTACAGAACAGTCATTAGACTGAACCAGGAAACTCTATGTTGCCCTTTTGCAAGTTCATATTACAAGAATGCTAACTTCCTTTTCAAATTTGCCAGATTTGTTTAGCTTTAGAATTTTACTAAGTAACCTAGCAACGGTATCTATGGTGCATCATAGTATTTAATTGTTCAAACCACAAGTAGTAGAAGCAAAGAAGACCTAGAATCAACTAGATTATCTCGACAGAACAAATTACGACATAGCCAATCTAGATTAACTTGGCAGAATAATTCTCACAGCCAATCTTTCTTACAAACCAATAGTAGCAAAAGAATAACAACCACTGAGCTGAAGTTAGCTTCTTACAAAGTTTTGAGGTTAGCAAGAGTGGCAAAAATGTCTCCAGTTGACTGAGAAATGGAATTATGGCTTATGTTCCTGAGCCAAGAAATTTAATCAGGACAAAAGAGGTACTCCAGATTGAAAATTTATATTAAGGTTAAGAAAAAAAGAACTCACAAATCAGAAAGAGCAACCATGGTAGATATGGAATAAGGAAGGGTCCCGCTTAGATTGTTCCGAGCAAGATTTCTGCATCATACGATTGAGTAATTATTATCAGCTTAAGCAACCAGTAAAAGCATCCGAAACAATGACAACATTCATAAATGACCAAGTATTACAGGCTGGAAAGATTCGGCGGCAACTGATAAGGGATTGTGTCATGAATGCTGTTGTCACTCAAATCGCTGGAAAAAGAAAAATAAATCTAAGCAATTGCCAACGTTATCATACAACAAAACATCCAATAAAAGAAAGGACATAGGAACTCTTACAGTTTTCTTAATGACATAAGACCAGAGAGCAAGTATCCCATGGTTCCATTGAGTCCTAAACCAGAAACCTCACTGGTTTCAACAGATTTTTTTTTTTTTTTTTAAGATAAGGAACAAGAACAAGACAAGACTGTTAAGTCATTATTTGATTGATCCATTAAACACATCAAAGAGTCACATTATGATTTGTATCCATACACTGAAACAACAGATGGACCTTCGCAGGTAACTCCTTTCCATGCCTCTCCACAAGGATCACCATCAGTGCTTTTCCAATTTGTTAGTTGTGAAGGATTGTTTAATGAAGTGTACATAACCTGAAGAGATTGAACTGCAACAAGAAAAAGAAAATATATCTCAAAACCAAATTCATCCAATCAACGCGAACCAGCATCCATGTAAAACTCTCTATTTATCTGTCAATAAAATGCAATGAACAAACAGTACAATCCTTATAGATTATTACTTGATCATTTTAACTACAGCTTAGTTCTATTCAACTATAATATACCAACTCCCCTCAGAAAAGGGGAAAAAGCATAAATTTGTTCGTTTCTCATCATTTTCCCGCACTATGTTGGGAAACAAACACAGCTTATAGCACTGAACTTCCATATTTATGAGAAACATTAAAAAAAAAAAAATCTTAAAAATCCTTCACCCGCTCCTTCACTTCTAGAGAAGCGCAGAAGTCTTCTTCAAAAAAAAAAAACGCAGAAGTCAAACACATTTAAACCAACCAGTCTCCATTCCTCAACCAAACCAATAATAACGAGATCAATCAATCCAAAAAACTCTAAAAACTACTTCAAAAATTTATCTCATAAATCTCGATCAAACAATGCACAACACGACATAACAGCAATTTTTTAATTACCATCTGAAGCATCAGTAACGCCATGAACAAGAGAGACGCAAGAAGTCGAAGCGAGTAACACAAGCAGAGTAAGGAAAACCGAAAAATCTCTACTCTCGTTAGCCATTCTCTATATTGCAGTGTTCACATGCGACGATCAGGTGCGGCGCAGCGCATGATGGAGCATCTTCCACGAGCAAGCCAAAACGAAGAAGAAGAAGAAGATGAAGAAGAAAAGAAAGACAAGCAGCAGAAGAAGCAGAAGTAGTAGTTGTTGCGGTCAGTAGTTAGAGGCATCGCCATTAAAGAAAGGGACAGATGGAGAGAGAGAGAGAGAGAGAGAGATTCGTAGCTTGTAATGAAGAGAGAGAAAGTGTGTGTATTTAGTGTGTACGAGTTTGTTGTGCAGACTGTGTGTGTATGAGAGTTGTGTAAGTGTCGGCGAGAGAAAACGGAAGATCTAAAAATTAAAAAAATACAAACAGTAGAAAAGTAGGCGGGCCAGCAAGCAACGTATGACTGTTCTCAGGTAAGTTGACTCTTTTTAATCTTCTACGCTCGTTCTCACTTTCCTTATTCTACACCCTCCTTTTTATTTTCCACGTCAGCACTTTCGCTATAAACTGAATTTTAATCTTCCCTCACGGTATAATGGATTAACATAATAATTGGCGTACACAATAAAATAATATTAATTAAATTGTGAATTAAACAGTTAAACACGTTTAAAAATTATTAAAATCTAATCATAAGATAATATATTCTTTATAAAATATAATTATACCAAAAAAAATAAATGATTAGAGTATAACAATATAATTGTGTTACCAAAAGATTTATGAAATTTAAATGAATATAGAATGAGATTGGATGAATCAAATATATTGAATGATTAAAAATTCTTTTTGTATTTTGTTATTATTTGATTATATTTTAATATTATTTTAGTTATAATTAATCGTAATAAATACGATACAATATAAAAAATTTATATAGAACATTTTTTTTTTGTTTCACTCAAATATAAAAAAAATAATAATAAATATCAAACTAACTAAATATGAAATATGTCACAATAATCAAATATAATATAAGATTAAAATTATACTAATTTAATTAAACATATCAAGAGATTGTAGATCCAGTACAATAAATGATCTGCATAAATATTATATTTGTGATAAATACAAGTGAATTTAATCTCCCGAGTCTACTAAAACATGACCCCTAATTTAATGTTCAATAGTCGTAGTTGTAATATTTTTATTAATTTTATTTTTTAAAAAATTTATTTAGTAATAAAATAAATAATTTTAATAATAAATTTTTTAGTGCATTTATCCCGAACAATATATAAAAAAAATTTAAAAATATAAGAATCAAAATTACAAAATAAAAAATAACAACAAAAATAACTATAAATATTTATTTATAATTAAACAGTACTCCCAATTAATATTTTAAACAATAAATTTTAATATTAACATTAAAAATTTAACCGTATAAGTACATCAAAATAAGGAGTACCGCAAGTTGTGTACTTAATACTTCCACGAATGTTTTTTTTAGAATATAAATTCGAGTTATAAATAATGTAGTATTTGTTTCAAAATAAATGATTAAATAAAAAAAATTAATACAAATCCGATGATTGGATGAGAACACAAGCATATGATGGGAGTGAAGCATAGAATCATATCCCTTGCCCCTCTCCAAGGAACAAGAGCATGTAAAGAAGCCGATCCTTGAATTGACAAAATTACCCCCGGAACCGACTTGATATTTCCTTTTGACGCCACTGGATCCTGAACTTTTTGCAGCAGCGGACAGAAAACAAATGGCCCGAGGGGCTGGCAGACAAATTGGGAGGAATTTGGGAAAATGACTACAATGTCCTCTTCTGTGAACTTTTTTAATTTTTAATTTTTATTTTTATTTTATTTTAAAGCTTTGATTTGATTTTATTCACTTTGGAAGAAAGTATTCGAAAATGGTTGAATTTTAATTATGATATGAATATCTATTTTTATATAAAGACATTTATATTATGAAATTATGATTATATATAATGAAGTGAATATCTATACATCATTTTTTGATTGATAATGTTTCAATTAAATTAATTTTTTTTTATTTATTTCTAATGGTGTATGGTGTATGATTTGATTTGAAATTGAGGTATTGAATAATTTAAACAAAATTTAATAGTATATTAATTAATAATACGATAGTTTAACGGTTAAAAATTGTATATTATACTTAAATATTACGAGTTTAAATATTACAAATAATATAAAATTTGTCATTTTATGAATATATTATCAGTTGAGGTTAATTGATATATACTTTTTAATTTAATGAGATTGTAAATATTGAATTATGATGAATAATTTTATATTTTATTTTAAAAAATTATTATAACATTTGAGTCGGTAATAAATATGTAATAATTATAATACAATATAATAATTTTTAAATAACAATAAATATAAAAATACAATCTGATTCGAATTTACAATTTTTTTAACCCATAATTTCTTATTTTTTATATAAAAAAAACGTATCCACCATTTAATTTAATGTTAATTGATGAAAATAAAATTCATTACGATAAATAATCATATATTTTTATTTTGAAAATTATTATAATACTCGAATCGGTAATAAACATACAATAATTACGATACAGTTAAAATAACTTCTAAATAATGATAAACATAAAAGTACAATCTCACTCGAACTTATAAATTTTTGTATGAAAAAAAACGTATCGATTATTTAGTGTAACAATGGTCGATGAAAATGATGGTAGGTAACAAAATAGAATAAAGCGTGTTACTATTAATTTTGTAACGTTGGGAAAGCAAGCATCAATACCATAAAAGTTGAATAAATTATAAAGTGGGTTTCTTCTCGTTAATATAAAATTAAACTTTTGGTACCAAAGCAAAATCTTTAATTGCTAGCAAGCTTTCAAGAACCTTTGTCTTTCTTTATATATATATAATAATTTTATTCCTTGCCAATAGCATTAAGGAAAAAAGAAGACCAAGGAAAGAGCAATACACTTTTTGAAATATGTGTTGAATTCTTTTTTTAAAAAATGATATATAATTATAAATTTATTATTTAATAATAGTAATCCACTTATAATATTTAATTTAATGACATTTAAAAGTATATTTTATTAATATATTTATAAAACTATAGTAATTAAATTTTAATATATGATGGAAATAAATGAAAAGTTAGAATTAATATAGTTAGGATGGGGGGGGGGAGATTGGTGTAGATGGCCGGTGAGCACATGGAAGTGGTAAATGTGTTTTGAAATTTGTTTGATTGCAATTCCAATTTGGCAGGTCTAACGTCTCATCATTTCGTCACGCACGTTAATTATTTGGCAACCGACTTGTGCCTAACAGGACCCATTTGTGTGTGTGTTTTTTTTATTAGCCTTTTTAATTTTTAGTCAAAAATGACAAATCCTATGACACATATATTTGTCTATAATTGTCACTTTTTGAAAAACAATTAATTCTTTTATGCAAATTTATATATAATTTTAATATATAATGGGTAATTTTAATATATATATATATATATATATATATACATATCTATATATTTAAAATTATCATTTGCATTAAATGATAAAAGAGAGAGAGGTGGTAAAGTCTCCCAAACATAAAAAAAAAAAAAAAAAGTGGGTAGAAATTAGTAGTTCTAATGAGCCACCTTATTACATTATCTTATAACCCATTTTATGAATTCATATAGTATCTATTGTAACAAAATTCTGTAATCTGTAATGGTAAATTCGAATTACGAATAATTATTCTCTCTAGCTGTCAATGCTATTTGAACTTTTTGAGTATCTACTTCCATAATTCTCGACTTCTAGAAGTTAGTATTTTTATGCAGTAAAGTATGACGATACCCCAGCAATTTAGTTATATACGACGAGTGACAGCTCTTGAAATGGTCAGAGAATACGAACAACATCGTACATACGGATTTCAGTATGACTGCTGTATAACTGTTGGGTTTTAGGTTATCTCTTATGTAAAAAAAATTTAAATACTTTTTTAAACTTATTTATTTTTGACTCATTAGGGTTATTAAGATTTTTTTTTATACTACTTTAACTATAAGAAATAATTTAAAAATAAATTTTCAGCCACAAAAAATAAGAGAATAATAAAAAAATAATTTTTACTGGAAAAATTACATCCAACGTGTTTAACTTCTTTTACGTTCAGACAGTTATCTTTATTTATATCAGGCTAAAATTTAGTGTTATTTAGAATACTCATTGTTCTTCATTCTAAACGGTGGAGATCGATTTTGGACGGTTGGATTTTCGGTACTTTCAGTTCGAAATTACTGTTCACGTTTTTCTTCCATGCACCGACCAGTTTGACTTTCTCTAACGTTCGGATGGTCATTTGTGGTCTGATGAGGCTGAAATTTGGTAAACATATTAGGGATAAGTTGTTCTTTCATCTGAATAGTGAAGATCATATTTGAATAATTATAACGCATTCGTTTTGTATGAATATCAGCTGCTTTAGTGATATTTCTCAATTATCTTGTTTATCTATTGTTATTTGGTTGATTTGTTGTTAAATATTTATTTGAGAATTATAGTGGTTGTTTATTGTTACTGTAAACACTAATTTGTGTAGTAAAACTCTTTTTCTTTGGATCATGAAAAGTCTCGTGATTTTTTATCTTTCACATTGAATGAGTTTTTCACGCTAAAAATTTTAGTATATTTGTATAATTGTTTTTCAGTATCTTGGGTAAGATTTTATTATATTTATTTTGACTAAATTTTTACTTAACTTTCACTACTCATAAATTCATTCAAGTACTTTTTTACAGTATTCCGCTTTGGATCATGTTCTTGAAATTATATCACCCACGTTATACTTCTAAAATCCCACTTGGGGCGCTTGCTACCTCTATATGACTTCCCGTACTTGTTGCCATTAAGTGAATAGAAGTTTGATCCACGAAAAACTTCTCTGACCACAAAAATTCATTCCTCTCGAGCCAAATTCTCCACATGTAGCATAATAACTCAGTGATCTCTTGTTTGGTCATCAAATATAGTGGTTAGAAATTTTTATTTTATTGTTGATTAATAATATATTATGAAAAAATAAATACGGAAGGGAGCAAAGAATCAAAAACCAGTTGTCAAAAATCCACTTTGTTTTTGTCATTTTCTTGAATTATAAGTAAGATCTGCATCAAAAGTGAGACCACACATGACCTCCATTATTCTTTTACATTAAATTGAAAATTATTTTTAACAAACATGTAACTCTTTAATTTTATTAAAATAATACCACTTTATTATACATATGTAATTATCAAATACTAAATAATTTTCATTAATAAATATTTTAATAA